GCAATCACTTTTTTCACACAGGGCCATGTAGGTTTGGATTTTTTTCCACCTTAATAATAAAAACCTTCATTTAAAAACTGCATTTTGTGTTTACTTGTGTTATCTTTGTCTAATATTTAACTTTGTTTGATGATCTGAAACATTTAAGTGTGACAAACATGCAAAAAGATAAGAAATCAGGAAGGGGGCAAACACTTTTTCACACAACTGTATATATATATATATACACACACACCTTTCGTTATTACTGTGGTATTGAATTGGGTATGGAGAATCATGTAATTTCACTGGTATTGGTAATGAGTGCTTACTTTCAGGTATTGGGACATCGTTAATATGTACCTCTATATAATTTCAAATAACAAAGGCTATACATAGAAGTAAAAGTCTAATAAATTGTACATCCAACAGAGACATTGTGAAAGCCTAAAGTCTACCTGATAAAGGTTCCCTCCTCTCGTCTTCCAGACTTTCTCCAACTGTTTACTTCCATGTCTAATGTATTGTGTGGCTCCCAGTAAGAAAAGAAAAGAAAATGAATTTTCTTTATTACTGAGATAGTGAGAATTGACACGTATATTTTCAGAAGGAGAGACAGCAAAACAATCCAAACTTCAAACCATTCAGTTAGAAGAGTACTGAGAGCTTTTATACACTTCTTTAAAAGAGGTAAGCTGGCTCCACTTGTTTATACTGCAGATCAGCTTCAATGCCCGTATTTTGGAGAGACAGTGGTGTAAGTAATGGTAGGAGTGGATGGGAGACTCTAGATCTCTAAGACCATTTCCTGCAGTCTGGCAGAAGGCATTGCCGGGTCCTGGCCGTGAGGGAGAGCTTGCGCAAGTCCTCGGGCAGAAGATGAATATGCTGCAGAGCTGCGTAGGTGTTCTGCTTGCGGTTGATTTCCCCTGCGACGCTTCAGCCAAGTCATCCCTCTCTCTCTCTCTCTTATTATAGCGTAGTCTATTTTCAGCTGGCATGAGGATGCGGTCTGAATGCTTCCAGACACGGCGTGTGTTGAATGTCAGGTCTCTCCTGACTCTGATTGGAACAAAGCACAGAGCTTTAACTCCGTGATTTGTGGAGGTGGAGTCGCCATCGGCAGCTCATAAATTCCAGGTTCAAAAGTCAGTCAGGTACACAAACGTCACACTCTCTCTCTCTCTCTCTCTCTCCGGAGGGATAAGCTTCCTCTCACAATTATGAAATCAGGATCTGTGCGACTCCCTCCAGTCCGATTACGGTTTAGAGTCTGCCACACGACCAGTGAGGTCATTACAAGCAGAGGGACTGTCTCTGCTACAGCGTGATCAAATAGGGAGGATATGCCTAAATGTTCACAATCCTGAGACGGCTGCGGAGTTAAAATTTCTGGCTTAGGCAGGTGAGGGAGAGTGAAGGAGCAGGGGTCAGGGGTCAGGAATTGGAGACAACGGTTTCTGCGTATACCAAAAACGGAAGCTTCTTATGTTCAAATGCAAACAGGTATAGAAATATTAAGCGTGCAGGGAGCAAACAGTCACTGATGGAAGAAAAGAAGTCCTTGCATTTAGCTTATTCATGTTTTTAAAAATGGTTTGGAGTCACAAAATGTCATAGAATAGTTTTATATTTTAGGAAATTCCATTCATTACAAGGAGTTAGATGAGAAGATTGATATAACTCTCATGCTGTATAGTAAATATGAAGCTACAGCTAGCAGCCTTTAGCTTAGCACAAACACTTCAAACATGGAAACAGCTAGCCTGGTAACACACTCCAGCATCTCAAAACTCACTGATTAACGTTCTGTGTCTTTTACATCTCGTTTGTTTTCAGCCACAACAAAAACATGTTTGAAAATAAAGAAATTCTGGTTTTAAGGAAGAAGACAAAGTTCCTCGGCACCAAATAGTGTGGCACATTCTGTACAGATTAAACAAAGGAGATATAACATTATTCACTAAGTCTTAGATGTGCAGGTCGGCAGATTGTATTACCTGGGCCAGGCTAGCTGATTCCCTCCGTTTCCAGTCTTTATGCTAAGCTAATTGGCCGCTGGTATTAGCATACAGATATGGGAGCAGTATCGATCTTATCTCAATATCTGCAAGGGAATTTCCTAAAATAACAAACTATTCCTTTGACAATCCTCTAAATTTAAGTTACAATAAGCGTTTTTTAACCATTCTTTCTCCATCCCAGGAGGACATCCAGCAGAAGGAGGGTCATGTGCGTTGGGGTGACGGATTTGTCATCGTGTACGACATCACGGACCGGGGGAGCTTCGAGGAGGTGGCGCCGCTCCGAAGTCTCCTGGAGGACGTGAAGAAGCCGAAGAACGTGCCCCTGGTCCTCGTCGGCAACAAGTCCGACCTGGACCACGTGCGGCAGGTCGGCACGGAGGAAGGCGAGCGGCTGGCCGCCGAGATGGCGTGCGCCTTCTACGAGTGCTCGGCGTGCGCCAACGAGGGCGGCGCCGTGGCCGAGGCCTTCCACGAGCTGTGCCGCGAGGTGAGGCGCCGCAAGGCCGTGCAGGGCAAGGCCAGACGCCGCAGCTCCACCACGCATGTCAAACAGGCCATCAACAAGATGCTGACCAAGATCAGCAGCTAGGGAAGACGACGCCAGCAATGTACTATTCCTCTTCTGTAAATGTGTCAAGCAACTAGCGGCTCCGCAATGGACGAAATGTGACTGATGTTATGTGGAATGTGTTCTTTACTTATTCTCTCATCATGCTCCATCAAATAGGCAGCGTCTCCTCCGTCTGGAAGAGGTAGCTCATGTCGTCGCTTCAGCATGGGAGCCGTCCAAACTTTTCAAATGTCACTTGGATCAAAGTAACTCTGGATGCAGGTGAGGCGTTGGTTTCTCTGTAGCTCGTCTGTTGGGGGATAGTGCAACTGTTCCGTCAGCAGTGGTCAAAGAAAAATAAGATCAGCGAACTACTATCGCATAAAAGTAGATCCACTGTCCCTAACGCATGTCATCCCTGCAAACAGTCATCCACACAGTCCTTGTAAAGTCCACTACATTATCTTGACACGAAACGTTTCTGCTGTGGAGTCCCAACACGTCACATTCCAGGGAAGCTCCTCATGGCTGTCATTTTTAAATACTGTAAACTACAGTATGTATGATTTGGTACATTGCCAAAGACGGTACTGTCATTGTTGAAATGGAATGTTTTTATGTACGTGACCTGTATGATCAAAACAACCAGATGTGCACTCGTAATTAAAAGAAATGGACGTATATCCCACTGGTTTTCCTCTTCCTGAGTCCGTATGTTTGGTTGACATCCGTGTTTTATGTCATCGCTGGGTGCATGGTGTTCCACAGTGGGGTACTAAGTTCTAAAACAATAAATACGGTGTCAGATACGGACGCCTTCAGCCAGAGCAGCGGCTGTTTATCATACGAGCTCATATCAAACTCCCTCGGGCTCATCTGCATCATATTTTGATTGAGCTATGATTCGGATGACGGCAGACAACAACACGCTAAGCGCTGATAGTTTGAAGTGTAACCACATCAGTTCAGCGATTTAGTGTTTTAATAGATAAGAAATAGAAATTGATGGATTATGAGACAATCCAGGAGCAAAAACTGTGAATGGGACATAACTACTTCTCACTGAGCTCTTTGACCAACGTTAACAGTCGCTTTGCATTGTTCAGGCTCCCCCTGTGGTTACTGAAGGCTACAGCAACAGCTGTTTAGTACTGCACATCCCAGACATCTGGGGGAAGAAACACATTGCCGTAGCAGATATTTTGTTAGAGATGCAACAGGAGAGCAAGTGGTGTTTCTGTTTCAAGTGGAACCAAACATTTTTATAAATCCTGTCAGTAATAATACACAATCGCCTCCCAAGTGTAAAGAGAGTGAACAGTGACGATTTTAGACTCTCGGGTCTTCATAAAGATCAACAGATCATTGGTTTTATGCCCTGACATTTACACTTTTAAACTTCCTCTTTAAAAAGGCTTCATGGTATCAAGTGTGATACATGTTGAGGAATGTACCACATTAATGCTGTATGTTCAATTTATTGAAAAAAGCTGCTAAATTCTATATAGCTTCTTTCACACCGTCCCGACCCACTGCGTCGTCTCCTGTGCGCTCCATCCAACAGGTAAAAACTAGTCACATCCGTTTGAAAACGGTGAACAGAAATACAGCACCTCATCCTACCAGTGGCAGCAGAGCAACCTTGTGGATGTTTTTACATTGAGATAAAAATCAATCAAATCAATGTGTATCCATGTGATCGTATAACTCAATAAGCACACAGCGAAGCTGGCGCACTTCCACACACTACAAAGATGGAGTCTGTGTAGCGGGTAAAAAAAAAACCTCGCCTGTGGGACATGTCACGTCTGTGAGAGCGACTGGATTGGGAACAAAAGCAGGAAACAACAAGCGTCTCCTGGAACTGGGAGAATCCGTTCAGGCTGGAGAAACCAGAGCAACGGTTATTTAAAAAAAATCCTAGACCATAAATAGTATCAAGAAAGGGGTTTTATTTCATGAAAATCTGAAGGAATATAACTTCCTTTTGTACTGAAACTAAATATCTATGTTCTCTGTACAAGTTGATTGATACTCTCACTCTCACACACTAAAAAAATTCCCTTATCATCTTACAGTCACTGACAATACTGGGTGGATTCGTTGTACAAGTACAGCTCACCATTTCAGCAGGTTTTTTTGGGACAATATGGATTTCAAAAGACACACCTTTTGTATTATATATTTTTTCATTTTTATTGCCCTGAGGCCTGAAATTAAAACCCATTCAAACGAACGTTCCCTTACTTCCCATTTAGTAGTAAACCGTAACCCACTTCTGTCACAGCACAGTCTTAAAAAAAGGAAACCTCCCACTAAATACACCCTGCTTTCTTCAAATAGACTGCTGACTCAGGGAGAGGACACAAAAACAAAAAACGGCTTTCTTTAGTCTGTGTGAAGCAGAAAGGAGTGGCCCAGCTATAGATAATTACTAGAGGCCAAAACCCCATAACAACCAGGGGGAAAGGAGCCACAATGCTCCTCCACATCCTGACCAGTCGGAGACTATCAGAGGACAATTTCAGGTTGTAGCCCCCCCCAATCAACTGGGACAGGGGAGAAGTGTTTAGGACGCGCCAGAAGGGAGGGGGTTGGTGTGTGTACGTCATGCTCTGAAAGTCGGCGCGAAGTGTGCGGCCGTGAGATCAAGGCACCGTGGGCCCACTCGTCGATCTCCATCGCTCTGACGTCAGACACACACACACACACACACACACACACACGGACGGTGGCTCGGTTGGAAAGTGCTGCTGAGACGGGTGAGGGGAGCGATCGGGCCAAGCCCGGAGCATTGATCCCACACAGTTCTCATGTCCAGCAGGGCCTCTGCTAGAAGGGTTAGGGTGGATGTGACGCAGGCATCGCCTGGGCACCAAGACGTGCGACTGAAACTCGCCGGGGGTTTGAGTTCACACAGTTCTCCTCTCTTATGTCGATGTAAAAGAGAGATATGGAGGAGGGGGCAGTAAGAGACCATATGGGGGGGGGCTGACAGTGGAAACAGAAGGAGAAAAAGACACTTGTGTTGAGGAGATGGACATATTGAACACATGGGCGCCATATTCAAATTAAATTACAGTTCAATTACTGCCTTTGGGTATCTGCATACTGTTTACACTTATGTTTGATATGCTCACAAATGTTTTTATGTACAATCTGTGTGTCATAAATATTTTGTATAAAAGATTATCTTACTGTTATCAAACAGCAGGTTGTCATGATCTCATAGATAACTACTGTCTGCCTGGGGTTCAGACCTGCCATGGCAGAGCTAGCACAGCCGGGAATGAGAACAGGGCAGAGGGATGCAGTCTGTGGGAATGACGCTCACATCTTCATGCAACGCATCCCGCCGGTACTCACAGTTCCGTGGAAACTCAGACACTAAACAGCCCGTCAGACCCTCCAGAGGCGGCCTGTGGAGGAACACCTCATGACGCTCTGTCCAGGTTCACGTGCTCCTCCCGCGGCACACGTGAGGACCACTTCCTCTGCTGCAGCACTCCCAAGCACACCGGCCTAGAAGAGCCACAACCGCTCATAAAGCTATTTTCTTTATAACCGTAGACTTTTACATGAATTCTGTTCATAGTAGTGACCGTACTTAGCGTGACGTGTTTCCCACGCAGTCTCTTCTCAACTGAGGAAGTGACAGCTAAAGTTAACTAGCAACAGCTGCACGCGCAAGCTAACGTTAAACTGAATTAAAGACAGAAGACGGCTCAGTGCACGGCTTACTTTACTGTTTACTAAACAATACAAAACGTCTGTCTTTAAACGTATAGCGCGTGACGCATTTTAACAAACTAAGGACCCGACCCACGTGTGGTCCCTCATACTAGTTCTTCTGTTTTCTGTAGTCCCACCTATCCAGGAATTGGGTAGGTTACAATCCTCATCACTGATTGGCTAATTAACAAGACATGACCAATATACGACGGATAAATACAACGTGATGGATTCAAGGACTGCTCTAAACGGAGGACACTTCGCTTGCTTCATAAATCTATTAATTTTGCCATAATAGAGACACGTTATCATAGAAAAGACATTTAGCCAGTCCATAGTTTAAAATGTACATTTGCAAAGTGAAATACGTGTCAAAACTAACAGAGTAAACACAATTAGAGCTTGGTGGTTACCTGAGAGAACTACTTACTACTGGAAACAGAAGTTGACAAAACAATCTCACTACATAGAGATGTGATGTGTTCAAACGCTAGAGGAACCTTGAATGGGCCTTGAGGCAGGACTGCTTTGTGGAGGATATTTTAGTTTCCCTTCACTGAACGTTTCAATTGCCAGACTACCTCCAATTAACTAAACCGTCCTTGATCCGATACAAGTGGTTTTTAACTCATTATCTGACTTTGAGTCTTTCGCAGCATTTTGCTCAGCTGGAGAAAAATATTCTGCAAACCCACTTAGAGAGCATGTGACTCTCTCTCTCTGCTGATGCTACTAATATCTCTGGAGGGAAACGAGCCTCTCTTGAGCAAAAATGATTTCCATATCCTTGCCGAGACCGATATCCCCCATATGTCATGTTTAGATCTGCAATCACGGGGAAAATTAGCTCTGTAGTGATTTTTCATTTTCTTTGACTGCAAGACTAAGATTAAAATCCCAGCAGAAGACAAACGGAGACGAATTAATGACAGAAAGTAAATTAAAGTGATTTTGGATATTGACATAAGGCGTATGTTTATTTTTCTTATAAACTTATTTGGTAGCTCGAGTCCCTCTTGATGAAATGTTCCATTAGAATGCAGAAGAGGGGGAAACAGAAAGGAAAGCAGAGGAGCTTCACAGCAGAGGAAATGAGAGACCTACAGAGAGGGGCAACGATCCCTCTGTAAACAGGCCGACTCTCCTCTTCAGCACAATCTCTCACAAACAGCACATACGTCTTCCCCGAGTGGGCTGGAGACGCACTGACAGGCTGTTTAAGTTGAACTTGGAGAGTTCATTTCCAAAGTGCTAAACAGAACATCCGCTTTCGAGGCGAAAACCAGCATCAGTCTTTGAAAGTGTTGGCGTTTCTTTTACACGCATACTATAGTGGGAATTACTTTTCGGGATACAATTTATCCCTAAAAAGTCAAACATGCAATACTTTTCTATGGTCATAGCTAGGTATCTAAATGAAAATACTCTCCCCCCTACACTTTTTCTCATGTTTACTGTATTATATTTCCATATTTCTGCCCTGTCTGCAGGTCCTGAGAGAGCTCAACAATCATAACCAGTGTGCCATGACATTTACTGTGGTTATTCATGATCCCCATGAGGACGATCTGGTCACCACAGATCAGTTTGTTCCAAATAATACATTAATAATAACCTAAAAAAAGTATTACTGATTATTCCCCCAAATACTATAATACACATCCTACACAAGTATTTATGCTCATTCCACCATCTCCTGGCTCTAGCTTCATACTAAATGAACAGACTTGAGTTGATCTTCTCATCGAAGTATTAGCAAGAAAGCGAATAAGCATATTTTTTGGAACTATTCCTTTAACGAGCCTGTGACTCATCTTGTACTGGTAGTTTTGTGAAGTTGTTGAATGAGGGCTTCAATTGACTTCCCCACCAACATGCATACTTGCATACTACGATGGACTATGAAGTGTTGTGTGTGGTACAGTACACAAACTATGTATGGTTTGAAATCTCAAATTCTTCAGTATACAAGCCATTCACATTCATATTCATATTCAGCGAAGCAGCAGCCTGGAAAGTCGGTTGAATTCCCCCTTTACCCACGGTGGCATCTGTTTTGGGATTCATCTGCTCTCTGAGACTCGTGCTGTCAGCCAAGTAGCATGGAAATGAATTGAATTCACCTACGTTCCCCCACCGTAGAAACACTCACAATAAAATCTGGAATCTGCACTCCATTGTGTGCAAAAGTTGCTGTAGCACTGCAAATAAAACCAGAGCTGTGTATGACGGTTAGGACATCAGTTGCTGCTATCGGTGTGTGTGTGTGTGTGTGTGTTACATGGTTCGTCAGTCTTATAATCTCTTATATGTTCACAAACATGGAAACACGAGTAGAGGATTTCCAACTCTTTCGGTTCCCTCTCCATCCTGTGCTCTGTGAAGCATTGCAGTTGCCATGACAATCAAGGCCTTTCCTTGTTTTAAAGACACTCACTATGGCGACGAAGGCTTTGCTGTGCAGAGCGGAGGATTTCTCTCACACACACACACACGTGTGCTAACACGGTACACTTACAGGTGCAACTACACAAACCCGACCCACACCCACGCAGATGTGCACGAACACAGTGGTCGAATGACGCGATGAAACCTCTGATGCATGCTGGGATATTCAGGGTCTGATGTAAAAATTGAGCTGAAGGAAATGGAGCGAAGGTTCAATATAGACGTGCCGCTCCACCCTGTGAAATCAATGCTCCCTTTCCGGAGGGCACTTATACCTGCAGCATAGAGATGAAGCACTGAAATTAGGATTCATGGTCATCGGATGGAACCACAAAGTCCGACGGATTTCAGCTCCGTTCTACTGAAACTCCTGTAGCACTATGCCACCCACAATCCACACAATGGTTGGGAACCTTGTCCAAGCTGCATCACTACAGTGCCAGTTAGGGTTAGTTAGTTAAGTTCATTCAAGCCCAACTTGATGGATTAAAGCTGCATTTATGCATATTGGGTCCGTTGGGGGGGCAGAAGAGCACCCGGATATTTGTTGCCCTACTAAGCTGATTTGGCTAATTCTTGGTAAAAATATCAAGGGACTTTAAATTATTAGATGTTTCTAACTTTGCATAAGTGATAAGACTTGATTCTACAAAAAAAAAAAAATCACACTTTTTCTACATCATTTCATTTAATGTCACAGCACCTTTTAAACACAGCTGCAATTCAAGGAAATGCAAATTAATATTTGAAAACTCAAAGACAAGAAATAATCACGGTTGTATTGATAACATTTTTATGGAGACGAATACATATTTAAAATAACGAATACACAGATGTTTTAGAAAGGTGCCGATGAAAAGTCGCTGTTCCTAAATAGTTATTATTATATATTAATCATCTAAAAAAACTGATGGGTCCAAAGTGAATGCTTTATTTATCTCTAAGATATCAGAGTGTTGGCTGCTTCTAACAAGGCTAGTGAGCCAACAGTATAATGACTTTGGCATCACGTGGCTGAATGTCTGACGGTCAGCGCACAGCTTCCCTCCGGTAACGTCACCAGTTCCCAAGTGCTCGGTGACAAATGGCCTCCGCCGGAAAGCAGAGGCGGGAAAACTCAAGAGAGAGGAAGGGAAACATTGTTGAGGAGTATTTAAATAATTAAAGGACACGTGCTCATTTCCAGGTTCATACTTGTACTTTGGGTTTCTGCCAGATCACGTTTACGTTATTTAATGTTCAAAAAACTCTTTATTTTATTCTGAATATAACTGTATCACTCAGCCTCTGTAACGCTCCGCCTTAGCGGTTTCAACTGAATTGCGTTGCTAGGCAACAGCATGTGTCCACGTTTACTTCCTGTCAAATGAATGGGGAAACACACACACACACACACACACACATACACACACCTTTGACATCTTTCAATAATTTTTACCACTATCAAAATGAATACTATTGACGAATGCAGCTTTAACGTTTCTGTAGGATTCACATCATTTTGGGATGTGGCGTTAAGTCTCACGCAAATGTAGCTTCTCTCCTATTAAGAGTGTCCGAGTACCACAGAACTGTGGAACAGACTCACATAAAGTCTGCAGTGTAAAGGGAAACAGAGGGACTATGTGGATACATTATAATGTGTGTTATTCAGCAGATACCTCACAGATGGATCCCAGACAGATCGGTGGTACAGATCAGATCCTTCTCTATTGAATGTAAATGTGCGTCAGAGATGTTCGTTTGTTGCTCTAAACATTATGAAAAGAAGACATTGAAGATCATGTGCACAGTTAGGATCCATCTTCTTTCTGCATCCTATTTTGTTTGGGAGGACAACGCCCCCTTCTGGATTAATCAATTCACCATGAGAGTGTGTGTATCAACCCTCCGTGCTTGTGATCTCTACCCCGAAAACAAAACTTCAACGTTGGGACCCGAGGAGGGAGAAACACAGAATTCAGATGTTTATTTCCACGTAAACAGTACAAAACCGTGTTGTGGCGACGGACTGGCTCGGTGGCCGCGGGGCAGGCAGGGACCTGTGCCAGATGAGAGATTTGACATTCCACCTTGAGAATGCAAGAAATCTCGCTGGCAGCAGATTACCATCAGGCTGCCAGTGGCCTGGTATGCAACACGTGTCTCAGATGGAGAAACAGATGCGAAGCACGTAGGACAAACTGGGAGGAGGTTCTGAGGGATTCAGGGGTCAACAGGCCCATACCGAACCTGAACACCTGCAGGAGGAGAGCGGAATCCCATCTGAGCGATAATTGAAATCCACATACACTGTGTGTTAACTGCAATGAAGTGACATCACATGGAGGTATAGGCTCATTTCCAGGAGACGCCTGATGTAATGTTATCTGTATGTTATCTCTAAATCCCTGCTAAATACACTGCTGCTGAATGCAGTCAGGGTGGTCTGCAAGGCTGCAGCCTTCACATGCTGTGCCCCACAGGCATGTGGTGGGTTTAATCTTAACAGAACATGTCTTTTATTAAGCTTGTCATCACTGCAACAAATGATGTCAAAATGGAGCAAACATGAAGCTTTAATTCACCGCCTTGTTTCGAGTCAAAACCACTTTGCTTCACATTAACTGGGACGTGTTACAAGACACGTCGTTTCTAATATATTGTAATACATTGTCGGGGATAAAAGGAGCATGCGTGTGCAGACGCTCGCTAAATTAGCACTGTGCGCCTTATGTGTCGGCATCATTCTATGTCGTTTCTACATCAGCACCACGCACAGCCGGGGAAGAATGACACGAGGGAAAATAAAGACTCATCGGTGGAGTCGTGTGTTTTCTCACGGAGATCCCACAGCGATCATAATCTGCCTATCCTGTGCTTTGCTGTACTGTCTACAGGTAGGTAGGTGCACAGTATGTGTGTTGGTTGAAAAGTGCATACTGTTATTGTGCATACTCTCTTAGTTTAAGAAGGTTGTACTGATTTCCTGATCTGGATTTTCCAATTTCACTTATTTTATCCACACGTTGCATTTTAATTTAAATTAAAATAATAAAAAATATTCAATAATATCATCTGTTTCCATGGTGATCTACATGCAGCTCCTGCAGATACTTATATAGTTTCATACTGTTTCTGTAAACTCCAAGCTGCACCAATCACTATTTTTATAACGATGGATGAAATGACTGTGTGTGTGTCGTGCAGTGACGAACCCCACGGCCAATCATCCCCCGACTCTGCAGCTCCCGTTTTAGCATCTTTCAGCTCATTGTCTTGACTCATTGCTCCCATCAGCTGTTCAGAGACTCTGGTCCTGAGCAGGTGGCGTACAGTGTCTTTACCAAACAGCACACAGAAGACACTGTGTGGTGAACATAGAGGAGCATTTAGCAGTTAGCATTTAGCATTTCCCTCAGGAGTTGGTGGAGACCAAGCCAAAGCTACGAGGAGACGAAATGTTGGAGTCACATTCAATAAATGCTACTCCACATCTGCTGGAGGTTAGAATTAGAAGTTGTTTGCGAATATGTCAGCTTGATGAGGCGATAATACTGTGAGTGAATGTTGTGGCAAAACTAAATAAAAAACGCATGATGGCAGCTTTAAACATAATCCTAAAAGGCACATTCAGGCATGAAGTGGTCTCAGAAATATCTGCGTGATGACGCCGTTTGTTTGAGCAGCAATGATGTGTGCGTGTGCAGTGACATATTCAAGACTGAATGTGTTTGATATTACCTCTGTAACATTAGTGCCTTATTCGTTTGAAGGCTCAACGTGAAGTGGGCAGCAGATGAAAGGCAGCGCTGGAGCAGGTTTCCCTCTCCGGGGGCCTCGAGCTGCCAGTCGGCTTTTAACAGCCCGAGCTTCATGCCAAGAAGGAATGAATTACGGCAGTAATCCAAGAGAAAATGGGGATTTTGAGATTATCCCCACATATTCTGTTGCGTGTTCGAAACAGGACTTTTAAAAAGCAGAGCGAGAGCCAGGACTCGTGCTGCAGTGACCATACATGGAGAAACGAGCAGCATGACTGAGAGAGACTGGAATGCACCACAGGTGTAATAAAAGTTGGTACCTTTAATAACAGAAATCTTGCTTTTTCAGACAAAAGAACAAAAATACAGAAAACTAAATCATCTTGATACTAATGAATTACAGGAACACATGAGATGCATCGCACGTCTCACAAATAAGCAGCCAGACATTGAGATTGACACACCTGAGGCACACGGGAGGGGTTGGTTTTCATGCCACATTTACACCAATATACAGAACGTTAATACACTTACAATACCATACGATACCATCCACCATTCAGCAGAGGGGAAGGGGCACAGTGGACTGAAATATCGGCACATAAACCAGTGCAATGACACTCTGCCTCTCATTTACAAACACCACATTTGAAGTGGACTACTCAATGGCAGGTCTGTGAGGCTGCATATTCAACTGTTATGAATCAGTTCAACACACCAGACGCCGAGATCGAGACTCAACCATGTCATGACTGAAAGAAGAATAAAAAAAGGTAAACATAGCAGAGAATTGCCTTTTTCCCCCCACAAATATCACATCATTTTTAACTGAAATAAAAAGAAAGAAAGACGGGGGTGAAGAGATTGCAGGAAATTTTGTGAAATGAGCGCACACTGTTTAAGAACATGGATGCGGCATCTGTGACATCAACAGTTTCCTGTGAGGAAGCCTCTGGAGGCTGAATAAAGTTCTTGATGGGAGGATTCCTACACATGAGGTAAAGCGTACACGAGAAACACTCGATAAAAAAATGTTAAGGGGACACTTAAAAAGACTTGTAAAGGTGTATATTTGGGGAGTGATTGAGTGATGATGTGCTACTTGTTACATGGAAGGCCTTCACAGTCTCCATCCTGCTGACTGTGCCTGGATGTTGCAGGAAATCTGGACTCCGATCCTCCTCAGGTTGACGTCACAGACACTACATTGTTGTTTTTCCACAGTCCCGGCATCGAACTAATCCCTTTTTTTCGTCTGACGGGGCATTTTCTCGGTCCCCTTTCTCGCACCAAAAACGGGTGTCTCATTTCACAAAATCTTTTTCCCGTACTACCGTCACTATAGTCAGTTTCGGCAGTCACTGCTGAACTTGAGGTAGTTACTCATCACCTTTTACAGCTCCGTTCCAATCGAGTCAAATCAAAAACATCAGGTTTGTTAAGATATAACAGCTAACTGAGAGACTTTATCTGGCAACAGATATAATAAAAAGCAGATCTACACTGGTGACATCGAAGAGTATCTTTCATCCTGACAGAAGTATTAGTAGCACATACTTAAGCTGCGTGGTAGGATTTCTCAGTTACTGCCTCAGAAGGGCAGGACAGGCCTCCTAATGTTTTAGTAGTGAATGGACACAGTGGTTTAAATCAATATATCAGTCACAGCCATTATTGCGTGGCATATAAGGGACAGTAAATCCTTACGGTTAAGTTATGGCTTATCACACTGCAGTATTATATACTAAGTGGTAGGTGTCTTTACAACAAAGACAAAACAATATGATTCACACCTTCAAGCGGTCGCGCAATAAAATACGAATTTGGTCCATTTTGACACAGTGCCAAGGGTGATGAAAGGCTCGCAAAAGTGCTCAATAACAAGACGCTGAGAGATAAAGCTGACTGCAGATCAGAATTTTGCTTTTACAAACAATCCTCGGAGAGAGCGGTTGGAGCGAGCTAAAGAACCACAGCGTTGTAAAAAGCTGATGTCAATAAAAGGAAAATGTCTCTAGCACAGACTTCCTGACGTTAAAGACTAAACCCCTCCCCTGAGCAGCATTTGTCCGATCTTAGCTAACAAAAATATACAAGAACGGATGAAACAATGCGTTAATCTGCTCTAAGTTAAGCAGCTACGGTTAGCATGTCCGGCTAACTAGCCTACCGCCTGGTAACTTTAACCTGTGTAACTTCCAGGGATGCGGAGCATTTCAATATGATATTATTCCGTTATTACATTTGAGGAATAAACCCCAGCCAACATTACCCGAGATAGCATTATACGGGCGAAAGACATTGGTTAGTCCTCATCTTAAAAGCCTTTAACACCAAAGAACTCAGTTTATTGGCACAATATCATGTATGTAGCCATCGAGTGCATATTTAACACCATTTTACAGCATTACTGTTTTAAAACAAGTCAGTTGGTAACATTAAGAAGTCAGGTAGAGACAGCGTAGTCAACCAACGTATGGAGCTAATGTTTGCTTAATTAAATAGCTAGCTACAGCTGATGAAATCGGTTGGTAACAGTTGTCATTTTAGACGAGTTTTTGTTGAAAAGGAAATAAAAACACAAGTTGCAAATCGTTCGCAAGATGGCTGAGGTTAGGCATTGACCTTGAATGGTTAAAGGGGCACAAGAAGAGATTGGGAGCATTTTGATTGCTTCTCAACAGCTCTCAACTTCTGAGCTGATCGTAGATGACGATGCTAACAGCGTCACGTGCACGAATGTGCATTTAAAGCACGGCTAAACTATGTCAACAAGGCAAGGGGAAACTCGCATTACAACACACACAGAGGGAGAGCGACTTCATTCTCCACTATATATATTTACATAACACAAATAGTTGTTTGCTGCTATATTAGTGCTCTGCATCCTATTTACTGCACCTTTAAGGTAAGGCATTGACCTCGAGTGGTCAAGATTAGGAAAGGTCGTCGGGCAGCGAGTCTCGCGAGAGTTTTCGCAACTTGTGCGTCACCATCTAGACTCGACCCATATTCGTTGTGTAAGAACAGAAAGCTTGACAGGCAGCAACTAAGAGGGTGGGGCTTAGCAAACGATCCATTAAGTAGCCTAACAACTGTGATTCTGTGGCTCCACCCACTAATGATAACATGCAACCAATCAGATTGTTTCGCCTCCAGAGCAACGTTTGTAGAAGTAAAACTTCCATCCATATCATCGCTTTGTACGGTTGTTAGTGTACTTTGACAAGCTAGCGCACATGAACATACAATGTTAGTTTTTCATGTTTGTGCCAGTGAGACTGGCAAAGCATCAAATAAAAGCTTGGTCAAAAAATAACAGCCTCTCTCAAAGAAACAAGCGACATAGTTTGAAATCAAATCGGCCGGAACTTATTATCAACATAATTATTGCAAAAAAATGGGCAGTTCTTTTTTTTGGTGGTAGTATCATTATTAATCATAATGGTCAATTTACAACTTGAACTTCACACACATGCGCACCCTAACACATCACTATTGTTTTTATACAGCTTCATGCACTTTACCTCAAAATGGGGGGAATTATTATCATTACTACAATTATTACTATCACCATCAGTATTACTGTTATCACCGATCGTCCATTTACTGCACACTGCTCACAGGTTACCAAATATCCAATTTGTAGTGTATTTCTGTTTGGGGTATTTGGAGAAAAATATTAATATTATAACTTTCTTTTTACTCCAGTTCCTTCTGAATGAAAACAATATCTAGACGTATTCAGTTTGTAGCACAGATAACTATAAAGAGCCAACTACAAGACAGCTTCATAACTGCCTGCAAGAATAATCATTTACACATTATTAGATTGTGATTGTGCTCTGCATGGAAAGCCAAATATACCGTCAATCTCTTGCACCTTGAATGCACCAAGGAATTATTTTGAGAAAAAAATACCTTGCTGACAATTTATTTTACGGGCTTCCTAATTATTTCCTTGAAATGGAAGAATATTTACATTTCCTGTAAAATACATAATTTAGTGCTAATTATAAGGACAATTGTGACACTATTCAGTTGGTACACAGTCAAATAAAGCCACAGGTAGCTTAAACTTGAAGTTTCCATCAAATAAATAAATATTTACATAGATTCAATTGCATCTTTGTCCATTTTTCCCCCCATTAAATCCAAATAACAATTGCAAACAATTGTAGATTCCATCTTTAGAGCTTATACTGTAAATGGTAACATGTCCTGGTTCTGGATACCTATGCCACAAGTTAACATAGTCTATATATTATATTTCTATCCTTGGGAAGTTATTAGGACATTGCAGCACCCATAAAATAAAGCGTTGCCGTTGCTTTAGCTGTCTTTGTAGAACAGCTGAGATCGCGACCTTGTTAGAAAACACCAATTGGACTCTACTGTACGAATGACGTTCACTTAACATTTACATGCAGTTCCAAAGTGTGATGAAAGAGGACGTCTGTCTTGGCTCCTACCATTGCAGATGTTGTACGACCAAGAACAAAAAAAAACAAAACATGAGGATGATGATGATGATCAATTTAGCATTGGCTGTAGAGAAGAAAGGAGAAGAAAGATGTGAGGAAAGATTTTCTCCATCTCAGTAGAAAGTTAAGCACATTAAAAGTCTTATATTACATCCTCACCGTTCACCTTTAAACACAGAGCGGGAGTCGTTACCATATAAACCCCCCCGTCAGGAAACACACCGGACACATTAAGACAAAGAAGAGCTACAGGGGAAGACCTGAGCTGTGATGGAAGACGATGGCTGTGAGCCAGTACAGCGTTTGCACCTTGTGAAACCACGAGCTCAAAGGTTGCTTCGCTCTGAGATTCTTCTCTTGGCCCACTGGGGGGGGGGGGGAGGGGAGGGGGTGGTTGTATGTTTTTATTAAAAAGCACTTTTGGTAATGTTGGGTAGAAGAGTCACTACACGTAAGCCAAAATGTGTCTATAGCACGCGGACGTCTGAGAAATGCGGCTGCTGGCAAAATGCTTAAAATCGCTGGTGAACCGTGAGGATTCAGTACATTTGTCGTGAGCGGACCGGAACAGTTTCAAATAAGAATATTGCCTTAGACATCTTCAAACAGTTTGGAAGCTGTGCGTCAATTAAAGTAAAAATTGAAATACATTTAATTTCAGAAATAAATAAATAAATATATATATATACTGTATATAAACTAACTAGAAAGAACCCAATAATGAACAGTTTCACTTGTTGGACAAACAGAATGCAGAACAACGACTATATACCAAGCAGTATGAGCTAGATGATTATTTACTGTCATAACTTACCACTAGAAAGGCCAACCTGCCATCAGCTGACTGCTGATCTAATGTCTAGGGGGCATTAAATGTTTCCACTTTCAAATTAAAGCATCAAGATGCCTGAAAACGACTCTGTCCACTAACATGATCACTGTGCTGTTCCATAAAAACACAAATGAGTATGGGTATAAACAGAGTTCAGATTGACAAAATAACAGCTGGATTGATGCTCATGTGGGCCTATTTCTGCATCTGTTCTTAACTGGCATGAACGGCAAAGATAGAACAGACATAATCATCAATCTGAGTAAAAGTTGTAGAAATTTGAATGGGATCTGGTTAGATTCTGCGCCCGCACGGACATCCTACAACTCTTTAAAATCTCCCGGGAGGAAGACAAACGCTAAAGTTAGACATCTTTAGTCTACACCGTGGCCCTCATCTTGGAGCCCCGGTGTCTATTGGCCTTTCTAGTGATAGATGAATCATTGATCTGAGGAGAGAGGGTTGCACCAGGTGTTAAACTTCACAAACAGTGAGAAAGGAAGGAGGAACAGGAAGCTGAGGCTCCGAGGAGGAGGGAGACTCCATAACAGATTAACCAGTCAGGGTTTGGTTTTTTTCTTCTTTCAAACCTGACAACTGACAGAAAGAGGAAGCTTCTGGGGAGGCTTTTAGTCGGAGAAGAGGCTGGCGAAGGACTGTCGGAGGCTGCGGATGGTCTCAGCTTTGGCCTCGTCGTCGGTCAGGCTTCCTCGTAACGTCTCTGTGAAGGTGTTGGTCAGCGACTGGGATTTACTGCACGGTAAAGAGAGCAAGAGTTAGCGGGAATAAACGCTTAATACTTGAAAATAAAAATAAAAAAGCTATTTGGCTCATTAACGTTGGTTTTTCATATTGGTGGGACCACAGTGTGGACGCACTTCAGCTGTGGCGACTGTTTCTGAGCTCCAGGCCCGGAGGTGGCGGGGATGGGGCCGGGCTGGAAGGACTGGCTGGGTGAGGTGGTGGCTGATCGGGCTCGCTGAGGGGAACCCTGGGCCGACTGAGATGGAGAAGCGGAAGCAGAGCGGTGTCCCCCTGCAGTCGGTACACACAAATTACACGTGGGTATTTTTACTTCGGCATGCCTCCGCTGCCGCGAGCACTCTGTTGCAGTAACACACAAACAACACCAACAATGACAAAAAAGGGTCTCCTACCTCGCCGGGGCTGTGTGGTCTGTGGATGGAGAATGATACAGCGATATCAGTGCAGTGAATAACATTTAAAATGTTTATGCATGTACTAGCTAATGGTACACCACCTGAACACGACATAAGGCTCTACACTGTGCTTGTCCTTCAGACATTATGGAATACAATACCTTCAAAACAAGTTCTATTTCTTGGATGAAATCTGTGAGATTCGAGGGGAGCATTAGAAGTAATGTACAAAGCAGCAGGAACATCAGCAGAAGTAGTTATAATAGTAATTACTGTATAGAGGCTTTTTTGTATTAGATTTAATTTGATTAGCTGTTCAATTGTATATTTTTAATTATCATTTCTGTTTTGTTTTGCAACACAAGTTACTTCAAAGCCAAAAATATCATCAATTTGGCCTAAAAGTAGCCACATTTAAATATACTCCACTACTGTACTGGACTAGAATTAGCTTTGTTTCTTTTTATTTTAGAGTGTAAACTATCCCCAGGTTGCTAAAACAATACTGAAAAAAAATAGTGACCTCAGTGGTAGCTGACCCAGAATATATATATATATATATATATATACACATATATATATATATACACACATATATATATATACATATATACATAAAGCATGCAGTGGTAATACCAGCAGTAACAGACCGTAGTAGCAGTCAACAGCAGCAGTAGTGGTATTATTCATGTTAAAAAGGAGGATTCTACTTTTTCTTTTAGCTGAAGGTTGGTTAGTCTGACTAACCTATGTACTGTACATAAAAGGTCATGTGTCTGATGTACCTTGACAGAGGAAGGCTGAGGTGTGGACACTCCCAGCAGCACCTGGGCCATCTTACTGATGACCAGCTCTGTGATCAGCTGCTTATCCTCCTCGATGTGCTCACCGATCAGAGGCATGGAGCTGTCCATCACCTGCAGGGACAGAAAAACAGCCAATCAGGGTCCTGGATGTCTTCACCAAAGAACTGGAGTGTTGTAATTACTCCACTAGATGGCAGTATTAGACTTCTTATCGTGGCGATTCCATGCCTTCGGACCCCAAATGATGTCAGCGATAATGGACTCTGTGGTGCTTTGCCAGCAATGATGAGTCATTTCACAGAGATCACATACACAGCAGTGTTCCCCGCAGTGGTTCGCCATTATTGAGCTCAGACAATATAAGCTATGCAACACTCTGCTGGCCTTTAATTGAATGTACTGCCGGATGCACTGAGCCTGACACTGACTTTTCTGTTTGTTCCCATGCTCCATCCCACTCCTCAGAAAGCCCCTTGTTCTGGATCGGTCCTGCTTAATCCTTTCAATAGAAAAGCAGCAACCAGTTCAGCAGTTTCTTTTTTAAATTAAGAGTCTGAGACCTGGCAGATGGACACAGAATTGACAAACTAGAATAGAGTTTCTGTCTGAAGCTTAGTGTGTAAGTGCATAGATGGTGTATGCGTCATTTTGAGGGCAAAAATGTCGAGAGCGACTGACCCATTCTCCATTTAAGCAGGAGACAAACTGAAGAGGTGTATTTGAACAAACAAATGTCACCTTTCAAACCGTCAGCTATTTCTCTGTGCCGCCCTCTGATTGGCCTAAAGGGAGGCCGATGGTTCACAGTGAGCAGCAGATACAAAAAGTGACTCCATTGTAAATATTATGTTGCCCGGGGTATGACTTGGACGGGCACAGACCACATCCATTGCCGTACACAAATAATTAACCTCAAAGAGGAAAAAAAAGTCCCACCAGTTGAGCTCACATGCACAAACACGTGCGCTGCAGAGCCACAGAGCACATGGGAGACCAAAACAAACGGGAGCAGAGTAGTGTGGGCTGCTGGCGCTGCCGGCCTGGATGCGGACGCCCGGTGTACAGTAACTAAGGGGGCGTGGCTAAGCGAAGGGTCAATCACACAAATGATGAAATTCTACAGTGTATTGTTCAACCATCTGTATGAAAACCCCCACTCTCTTTGCTACAGTATGTGGAAGTGCAAGTCTTTTATATACTCTGCAGAGTATATAAAAGTTCCATCCAATAAAACACGACACAGATTTTGGTGAGACCCGGCCACACCGTCCCTGACCAAGTCTCATTTAGGTCCCTTTGGTTAAGCCCTTCCTGTTTCATGTGGAAAGACGACAAACCACGAAATATAATTAAAATCTTTGCTGAGACCGGATTTTCTCACGCATGCTTGACTTTAATGAATCCTGATTAAATCCAAACTGTGTTTTTTCCTTTGTTTTTCAGAGTAGCTTGGGATCTCACCATGTGGGTTAATACTGTTCCACACAAAACCACTACCGATACCAGAGAACCCTTCCTTTTCTGTGTGTACCCAGCCTCTCGGCGAGGACTTCGGTGGGGCGTGGCTCGGCGTTTTGGCCAGCTGAGTCATTACCACAGGGGACCGAGCCGAGGCCTGGCAAGCGACCGGCAGGCCCCACTTCAAATGGCTTGTGGTAGCGAGCAGAGCCGGGATCCACCCTGTTGATTTACGATGATACGGAGTCATCGAGCAGAAGACGGGGGCTGCCGCTGGCCTTTTCAGCGCTGGAACACAGAGGTGTTGTTCTGCGCTTTTTTTTTATTGAGCTGCAGAATGCTGTCTGGACAATGTACCCGGCTGCATGGGAGGGTTCACAGAGCACAACATGTGAAATGTGAATATGATGGTGCAGTCGCGGGTACAGGGATGGGCACAGGGTGGTGTTTCCCTGGGAAAAACAATTCCAGCTTTCAGATAGCAACGTTTGTATTTTTATGATTCACTCAAAGTTGAAAAAGAGGTAAAGATAATAAAATAAAAAGCTCATGGATAGTTGACCTGAGTATGCTGTGTATTCTAAACTCTATTTGTGGTCTCTCCTCTCCATCTGCATTGTTCAGAGAGCTCCAGTGTGTCGCTGAGTCATGGTCGTATTGTGCTGTGTCATTTCGTCAAGTCAAATCGTGTCGTGGTTTTGAGTCAAATCGTGTCACATGCGTGTTGTCTCAATTCCATCAATTTGTCGTGTGAAGTCATGGCTTTAAAAGGCCTCGTGCTCTAATTGTCACTCTCTGCCAAAATATGCACGTCATGGCTGTGCTCTTAATATAACGGGACATCCTGCCATCTGTGTCATATGGCAGATCTTATGACGATATATTATACCAGTGGTAAAAGTACAACTACCCTATTACAAGTTAAAGTCCTGTATTCATGATTTTGGAAGGAATCATGAGCAGCAAAATGTCCTTAAGTAAAAATAAGGTTAAGAAATGGCCCCTAGCAAAGTGTTGTATCATCATGTATTACTGGATTATTATTAGTAATGAATTAAACACTATTTAAATGATAATAAAGCATCATATTTCAGAGGTTTATCTTGTATTTTGTATGTAAAATCCAGAATCTTCTTTAAAGTAACTCGCAACTGTATCCGTCAAGTAAATGTAGTAAAAAGCAGAATAATGTCACAACAACATGTAAACTTTTTCATAACGCTACAGGCCTTTGCACACTAAGTCAGAGTTTTCCATACAAAATTGTCGCACGTTTAAAATTCAATACGACCACTCATTGTGTCAATCATGTTTACACACCCACTCTGAGAACTTCATCCGCATCCATCAAGTTTTTGGAACAAGTTACATTTTTTTTCCTCCAAAATAGCATCTGATAAACATTCACTTTGTCTCCCAGGACAAAGCTCTGTACGACAAATAAACTAAGAAATACAGAGATACGGAGCTTAAACAAAGAAATTAGATTAGATAGCAAAAACAGATAAGAATCGGGGATGGTAGGTACTGATAGGATATACGACAGATAAGCCCGTAGTGATTGTGCTGTAGTTAGCTAAACGACAGCTCCTTGTTAATGTCCTTTATTCATTAGCCCCGTTTGAGACTAGCGCTATCCATTGTATTGCCAATTTTCACAGCGAATATGATAATAAAACACCTTGGACTCTGTGGTGTGCAATGATTTTTGTTGAACGACGGATTAAAAAAACGCATAACGTAAAGACTTTGTGTTGCAACACTAGCAGCCACACACACACACACACACACACTAGAAGCTCTGGAAAGCTAGCATTGTCTGAAGTTAGCATGCTAACATGCTCACACTGACAATGCTAGCATGTTGACGTTTAGCACATGTAATGTTTCCAATGGTCAGTTTAGTCTGTTAGCATGCTAACTTTTGCTAATCCGCATTGACCACAAAATACAGCTGAGGCTGATGGGAAGTTTTGCAGGTAGGCTGACAAGTGTTGGAAGTTTTGGACAAATGAAAATGTTGATTGAAACCTGATGAAAGCATTAAATGGAAAGTGATGAGATCCCCAATGTCACGTCACTCTTGTGGTGTATGAAATCACATCACCGAGTTGTTGTTGCATCACGTCATGTCCGTTCTCTACTGTCATATTGTCGTGTTGTATATTATCATCATGTCGTGTTGACATGAAGCTGCTGTGTCACGTTGTTGTGGGGACACCGTGCCTTGTCACACAGCCTCCTCCATTGTCTCTGCACGTTTTCAGTGAACGGACACAAAGTCGGAGTTTGCTCCAAGTTAATACCGGCTGCGGTAAACTGTTAATGAAGTGCCCCTGAGCAGCTCATTACTTTTCATTAGGGAGAGGTGTCATGGCTGATGTCTTTGTCTGGGACAAAAAACAGATTCCCACTGTGATGGACCGGCAGCTCTTCCCTGTCGCGGTTAATTAAATTCCATCGCGCTGAAGGGTTAGAGGGAGACAGCGCGATAGAGCGGACGAGGAGGAGGAGGAGGAAGTGATGCTCGTCGGAGAGAACATTGTTACTCGACTGTGTCACCAGTCCGGCTATAAGAGTACGCATCTCTGGGGAGCTAGGAGATATTTCCTGAGATTGAGTCTAAAAAAAGAGGCTTATTTTCTAACTGCTGACCTCACCCAGCGTGTAGATAGAGAGAAGTGTGATGTCGTGATCGCGAGCTAAATGCGGGCACATCAGATGTCCCCAATCGGCCTGTTTCCTCAGATTTGAAGACATAGGAGGCCACGGTGGAGAAACAGAACTGACTACAGAACTATTCTCTACTGGGTATAATCCTAAAAGGACCCCCCCCCCAATGTATCATCCTATTCAGTCGTTCCCGTGCGAGGACTTTTGAAGGCAATGCTACGATTCATTAGCAGTTGTTTTAACTCACAGCATAGGAGGCCCCAGTGTGATCTCTGTCCCAGGCAACGTTCCTGCCACGCTCGACCCATTGGGGAATGACACAACTATTTTGAATGAAGGAAAACCTCCATCAAATTGGCTGCGTCAGGTCAAGCAGCAGCCACTTTGTTTGTGTACAAACCGGAAAACTGCACGAGGAGACGCCAAACTTTGCCAGCGGACCCAAAATAAACAGGCTGCGTTAGTAGACGCGGTGAGTCAACCGCCGACTCCCGATGTTTTCGTTCTCCTGCCTGTGTTTGGTCTACAGACTAATCATTCTTTCAAGGCTCTGATGATCATGTGTCATCAAGTCTGGCTACACCCTATCCCTGTTGACTTTCACCATAGAAATATTATCAGCAGGGAAGGAGACTGAATCCGGGGTAACGTTCACAGTGAAGTGGCGTTTTACCAGGCAACGCTACTAAGAACCGGTCCACACATGAAACAGTGCAAATAAATTCTAATCACACACAGCAAGATAGAATTTAGTGTTCCGTAAATATTAGGTCTTTCTGATAGCGAGTCTCTTTTTCTTAGAACTCTGTCTATATTTTGTTGTTTTGGGGATTATTGTGAAAACAAACTGACCTCGATGATATAGTCATTGCCGTCTTTTCCGTGGACGGCCTTCACCGCACAGATGTCGAGGCCGCCAAACATCTCCGCGCAGGAGTCCACCCACAGCCGATATCTGGAACACAGTGACACCAGTAACTGATAAACCTATAATTGAAGACCCAATAATGTCTGGAGATGTCATGGAGGGCGGGTTGGACTTCACAGGGCTCATAGTTACAAATAACCTTCAACTAGAATTCTCTAAAACTAGAATTATGGCCACGCGGTTGTATGCCTCTGGCAAGGAATCAAGTTACAGTTACAGTCACAGGGACCTTGACCTTTGACCTTTGACCACCAAAATCTGTTCAGTTCATCCTTGAGTTCAGGTGCCCCATTTGAATGCCCCAGATTTACATTCAGGATGTAAGCACAGATAGATGGACGGATGAAGAACCCCAAAACATAATGATAATAATAATATGACAATGATGACATAACAACAATAAAAAGTATCTGTGTAGAAAAGATGCGTAGGTATGTGGAAGTGACAGATGTGAGATTTTGCATAAACAGAGATGTCTTTGAGGGTATAAAAGACACAACAGGAAGTCGTCATTTAGTGTCTCCGAGTCAGCTCACCTGTCAGTCATTGCGATCTGTTCCAACATGGCAGAGCCTGTGTTTGCCTTCCAGTTCCCAGAGATGGACGTTCTCCTGCAAATCAAAGAAAAACACAGATAAACGAATCAGCCTTCCTCGTGCCATGACGACCGAAGACCCGACATTTTTCAAAAGTCTACCGTACGACCAGATGAAAGTTGACGTAGACATAGTCAGGGTCATCCTGAACCAGACTAACCTACTTCAAAGCACCCGTACCGTAACACCAAGAATAGACAAGCATCAAGATCCTACACCATGTTGCTGTCTCTCAATTAAATGCAAAGTACCGGTAAGTGATCTAATGTCAAGATCATGTTACTGCTACAATGATTGTAAATTTGAAAGGAAATTGGACTCAGCTACAGAATGTTTTCAAGAACAAAAACAAGATTTAAATAATTGTAAACAAATCAAAAAAATGCATTCAATTAATGCAACACATTATGTACTTTAATAGGAACACACATTACAGATAATGTCTTTAACATTTCAGTGTGATTCTGGCTAAAGGGCACAAAGTTCATACGAACAAATTTGTTGAAGCTGCTTGTACGAGTGATTTAGGAGCAAAGACTTTCTCCATTTTCTGTATTTGGGGGTCCGGACCTGTTGTAGGAGTCATGTGCAATTATTCTGCTGTTCTCCAAACCTACGTTTTTCACTTATGGATTGTAAATTTCATTACTTTGAAGTTATTTTGAATTTGTTTGAAATTAATTATGTTGACATTATCCTGTTCGACTCAGCTAGTTGAACTATAGGCTGATGTAATTATAGATGTATTCATATCGCCAAATGATATCACCATCAATTCAAATTGCATGTTGATGCTATTGTATGACACTACATTTCATATTTTTTTTTAACCCTCTCCCACTGCAGTCATCGATCTCCTTGCTGTGGCAAGAAGTTTTTCAACTGGAACCATTTATTTTTTATGTCAGTAGACACGACATTAACAGCACTCGTTATTTGTCCCCACTCCTTGGCTTTCGAAGGTCTCTTAATTCTGCCGCTGATGCAGATAAAAATGACAGACTTTTCTTTACGGATCTCCAAAAGCGGGACTCAAGAAGCAAGACACGTAAGCCTTATATGGTATTATTGGGGTGTTAGCTATGCTAATTTACAATTCTAACGAACACACGCTCATTTTCATCATGTTAACGTAGGTCATTCACAGTGCTGAATTCGACGTGGCACACTTGTACGTTCTTGCATGAGGTCTATTGTCATCAAAAGTCTGGAAGGGATTTGTTATTAGACAAAAACAAGCGTAAGAGTTTTTGTTTCCTTCCTGTGTCACTTCCTGTTATCTATTTATTATGTACTGTCTACTGACGTTTCAGAGGATTTTCCACTTTGACAAGAAGAAGATGGAATTTGTGATGTGACAGTGGCCAAAACTAGAGATATTAGCTTTATAAGCAGCTTCACTGTCTTCAGTGTTGATGGAGAAAATAAAGAAAAACGCTCTTTGACTTCCTCGGCCCCTACAGTCACACGTGCGGTGCTGGTGGTGTGAAACTTCTTACATGTACGCCTTGTAGTTGTTGCCGATCTTCTGGATGCGAATATCGTACTTGGACAGGACGTAGGGCTCGGTGGTGGCGTAGGTTCCGGCCAGAGCCACCACGCTGGTGATGTCCTGGAAGTCCTGTTGGTTTTCCACTTTGATCTGTGGGAGAGACACCACTCGTTAGTGAGCGGCTAATTAAAAAGCTGGCGGTGGCCGCTTGGAATCCCACAGGAATGTCACACTTGTAGACTGGCGGGATAATGAAAGGTCCCTGGATGGAAACATTGCCAGGGGCGGCTTTGAGCTACGTCACCTCACTCCCATCAAGTGATTAGACTGAGGGGGAGTGACGTGATGGGAACCCAGCAACACAAAACATGTAACCCTTGTATAATTGGGTAAAGATGAGGTGTGACATTGAAACATAGGAGATAAACTAGTTGCCTCTCAGTGGTTGTCTCCAAGATAGAGTGAAGATAAAAAATACACGAGGATCTTGGACACAGAAGCTCTCATTGGCCTTAATCTGCAGTCTTCTTCTTTGGATTATCTGTGGATGATGTGGCTGTAGGTGGTGTTCTTTTCTTTGTCTTATTCAACTACGCTGATACACGAATTTATGAGGTGCATTCCATCAGGTCATGGGAAATGGGCCATATTGACAAACTCATGAATCACCTTCAACATATGGCAAACTGTCACAACCCGGAGCTTCCAATCACTCGTCACCATCCCTCTCACTGGTAGCATCCCAGTTCATGAAAAGGAAAGTCAAACCAGATAGAGAAACCAGGAAGCCCTGGTTTTTGTCCCCCTGGGGTTTCAACTTGTCACGGTGTTTTGCTTATCTGAAGGTGAGTTTAAGTGAACTTAGTTGGTGTAAAGTTCATCAACTCACTCTGAAATGGTATGGAAATATGATTGTTAGTTGACTGTTGATCTAAACTAGGCTTCAAGTCCTTTCTAGGGTACATGGTACAATAGCTTTATATGATAACATACAGTAAGTTAGGTCAATGTCATAGCTCCATATAAGTTGCATAACTCTCTGATTTTGTAGAACACGGGAATAAAGGTTTGCACAGTCAACGGTTCAGAGTACCATTTCACTGATAGCTCGACATAAAAGAAAGTTGTGACATAGATGATGCAAAACCGTTCAGTATCGAATGGAAAGCGCGAAGGAAAATTAGACACTTGTGACGATTTGTGAGGTCCCATGAAACATCATAATGGTGCGTTTATAAGTGTTTAACCTTTATGAACTTTCACACACAAACAAGAAATACAAATTGTCCGGGTGGAACAAAGAAATCCCAAAGAGCCTTTAAAAGTGGTGCTACCCTCACCAAATACTGAACAAGAGAACAGACGGTGGGAAAACAAATAAAGCAGAACTGAGCAAGAGCTGCAATTGGTACCAAGACAATAAAAATAGGTATAAATGTTAAAAAGAAGAGCGGGGCAACTTTGATGGTTAATGTGGTCCAATAAATGTGTCACTTTGATGGGTGATAAAAAGAAAAACGGTTGAAGCCACATAAAAAGCTGTTCTACCACAACTAAATCCATTAGTCTCTCAAATGAGCTCAGAGGGTAGACTAGCAGAAATGTTTAATTTCTAAAGCTGATAAAGGACTTGTCATATGTAGGCCTACATACTTTAAATCTACAGTAAGAACTATTTAACTTACTTACTTAGAGATGAAGCCAAGAGTACAGCAGTGACATAGTACACCCTCTAGCGTGTCTCTACATTATTCACCGTCTGATTCATTTTGAGTTTTGGATCATGTCAGCTTAGTAGCGAGTCCTAAATATAACTTGTGGAAGAGCCCTCGCTAGCATACGAGCAGAGGGTACCACTGGCTGACAGCTGCAAGAAGATGTCACTGTGAAATGGCATTATCAGGTTGTCACTTGTTGAAATGTTTCTGGACAGACGTAATGAAGTTAGCTAGCATTTCAACGTGTTAAACCAATGTGACATCACTTGTAAAGTGGTTTTATTGGCTGGAGTTTTCATGTAAGCCTAGCTCGAATGTAAATACATCAAAGTAATTATGAACTGAGCTTAAAGGTAGACGTGTAACTGTTTAGAGAGGGCAAAAGAGCAAAGTTGAATTTGTAGAAAATAATAGCCACCTGTGTTCTTCCAGTACACTCAGGTGTTTTTCTGCTACAGTGTTTCTAGGTCTGGTATAGCCAGTATCTTATTTTGGCTAATGTTAGCTAATGTTAGCATACTTTAGGTACTGCTGTGAAACCGAGTTAGTTTGCTGTTGTTATAACCTTTCTACACTTGTGCGACTGCCACGGTATATTTGATCACAAAAGTTGCCCAAAAGCAAAAGAAGGGCAATACAATTACGAAGGTAATTTAGTAGTATAGGTTACACGGAACCATCTACCTAAAGTTTGTTAAGAGCTAGCATTAGCCAACGTTAGCTCGTGGTCACACCAGACCAAGGCAGTAGCAGAGTTGAGTGTATTCAATTCACTGTTTCATTTGTATGAAAAATAATGTTATTTTTCTTCTTTTAAAAGCAACATATTGTTGCTTTAGCATTGGACAGTGATGTATACTTCGATAAGGTCATTGTCCAGAAGGCTTCTTTTGTTTCTGTTTTTCTCTTTTATTCTAGCTGTATCATTGCTAATTGTCAATCATATATCTTATAAATGACATAATGCACTACAAATTAAATCTTGAGTGTTGCTAACAGAGATACTAAAGCTCTGAGTTCTGAGGTCTTTGCACTGGCTTCCTGTCAAACAAAGAATTGACTTTAAAATCCTGCTGTTGGTTTATAAAGCACTGAATGGTTTAGGGCCAAAATACATCTCTGATCTGCTGCTACCTTATGAACCATCCCGACCCCTTAGGTCGTCTGGGACTGGTCTACTTTCTGTTCCCAGAGTCAGAACTAAACATGGAGAAGCAGCGTTCAGTTTTTCTGCTCCACATATCTGGAACAAAGTCCCAGAAAGCTGCAGGTCTGCTGAGACCCTCGGCTCCTTTAAATCAAGATTGAAGACTTTTCTGTTTGCTGCTGCCTTTAATTGAACCAGATTCAATTAATATATTAATCAATTTCCTGCATTTCACTACTGTATTTTATTTCTTACACTGTTTTTTAATGTTTTAATGACTGTTTTTATTGTTTCAATGAATGTTCTTAATTGTTTTTAAATCTCCTTTTCTTTTGCGTTATGCTTTGATGCTTTTAATGGTTTTATTTGAAGCACTTTGAATTACCTTGTTGTTGAAATGTGCTATACAAATAAACTTGCCTTGCCTTGCCTAAAGCATTGAGGCTGAGCACTGCATCTTGCCTGTTTACAGTAAACTGGCAGAAGTTGAAACAACAAAGTCAACTGATTTAAGGGAAGAGCCATGTTCACAACATGGCTCCAGAGGTAGAACCTGACAGCTAGTGGCACGTCCAGCTCTGAGCTGTAAGCACGCAGGAATTACACAATTCCTCGGAAAAAACAAACAAACCGAAAATGATGCGAGCAGAAAGTAAAAAGGTACGCCAGAGGAGGCGAAGCACTGGCATAGAGATGAAGGACAGCGCCTGGTAGAAAAAAGTCATGTCATACTGGTCAGTGTCCAGACTAAATGACATACCAGCTCAATTACAGAGCTGGTTTAAAACTACGTAATGGGAAAATTGGGTATAAAGCTTCACTCTGCTACTGGTACGTCAATATGTTTGTCAAACGACAAATGAGTCGGCACATTTAATATCATCTCCTGGTGAGATAGAGAATAGTAATTAAGTTATTGAACTGACTCAGTAGTGGCACCTATAAAGAAATCTCTATTTAAAGTTTGCTAACATTAGACTCATACTCTACTGGTAATACCAGACCATGTGAGGCTGTAGCAGTAAAAAAGCCTTGGATGTATCAAATTGAGCTTAGCGTGTGTTTTATTGCTTCTGAGCTCAACTTTCTATTTATAAACATTTTTTGAGGAAATTGATATGAAAGTTTTTTTGATCAAAAGTTAGATACTTTTGCTTTAATCATCAAAATGGAGCAAAAATAATGTGGTAATGATAAATTTTAGACTGTAGTCGAAACCTTTAAGTTATGGTTGATTATAATATTATATAGGTGCCGTTTTGGGAAGTAAATGTGTTATCAGCAAGCTAGAAATGCTAATTAATATATATATATTTTAGCCACTTACAAAAAAAATTACAAGTGTCTGTCAAAAGCAAACACATAAAAACAGTTCTCAGAGCTCTGTGAGGTCTGAGGGGTTAAACGAGGTCCTGCTCAACAAGGGCCTGCCAAGTTCCCCTCGAGCCTTATGGGAAATTCTATATAGCTTCTCTGGCCCCTGAACAGGAAACCAAGCCCAACCAGACAGACGAGGGGAAAAGACATATATGAAGGATCTCTCCCTGTGAATCCAAATAACTGGCGGGAGAGAGAAAGAGAGACAGACAGAGAGAGATTTGTGTTGGGCAGAATAAGCGTGTGAATTGCTGTATCAAAAGCTCTACTCATTTTGGAAACAATCTCCCTTCAGCGTTCATTGCTAACTATGTAATCAACGGAGATGATAGACGTCATTCTGCGGTTATTTCCAGCAATCCTGTTAGATCTTCTGAAATCATTAGTCGGGCAGAAAAGTCGTGTAAGAGGAGATCAAAAGTGAAACCACCAGCGGCCTGTTCTCAGACCTTATCAGTCCGTCTGTGTGCTCCTCTGCCTTTGTGACAATCAGATATCCAGTCAGTGAGAGTGAACTGGCTCTCCAGCCTGATCATGGCTGTGATTGGGGCACCATGACTGATTATAAAGATCAGCACTGGTCTGTTAGAGCTGGAACAAACGGGTTTAGGTTTCCCACCTCTCGCTTGCTCTTTGAACCGCAGACCAGTCAAAGCTGTCGAGATAATATCACACGTTTGATTTGCACGACTGGACTCGAGACACATCTGAGTGTGAGCCTGTAATCTGAGCGGATAAAAGGTGGAGATCTCAACGCGTTTGGGTTTTAAAAGTCTTCCTGGCTTAAGGGAATAGTTTGACATTTTGGGAAAGAAAACAGATGACAGCTGAGGTCGAGGTTTGAGGTGAATTCTGAAGTCTGGGATTTGAACTTTGGGTTGTGACAGAGATAAGACAACAAATAAATGAGTTTTTCTGACTGTATATTTCAAGAAAAAGAAACTCACCTTTCCCATGCCGGCGTGAGCGTGCCCCATCTTGACCACCACAGGGTAGGAAGGGGTTGTAACCTGCGGACAAGAACATCAGATTATTAGCTGGGTGTGATAACCTTTGTCTTTCCAAAGCTGGGTTGGGGTGGAGGAGTCTGAATAGCACTCCTCTACACAGTGAGTGCCAAAGAAGAAAAGACCACAATTCTTGAGCCACAAACAAATCATATGTAGGTTTTTTAATGCACTTCTTCAATTTAAGTCCTCTTAATAAACATGCTTCAACTGATTTTTTTTTGAGCCACTTGAAGAATAGTGGAGAGCAAGCTGTGAACACAGACCAAAATTTCACTTGTGCCTCCTGATAAGTCCAATATTCACTCTTCTTTCAGCTCAGTTTTTTCCTGCATGAAGAAAAAATCTGGCTCTTTATCTGCTAATGCTAAAAACTTTTAGTTTGGTAAGCGTATGGTGCTGGGCAGTTAGCTTACAGTTGGTTTATCAGAGTTTTGGTGCTGAAAACCGCTTGTTTCTTAAAAAAAGCAACGCTAATGAGAGCTGAAACAGCAAAGTTGCGGCCCAAAAAAACATTCACATTCAGTCATTTTTATAAATTTCCAATACAAAAATATTGATTTCACAGCTTTAAATAAAAATAAAAATAAAAATGTGTTCGAAGAAGAATGAAAAAACATGGATTAAAAATGCTTTAAATCGTCTTTGACTTTAAGATTAGAACCTGCATATTAAAGCTTGGAAGCTCAGGGATTGCTGGTATCAACTGTTTGGGAAAGGCTGTCACACGAAGTAGGAACATTCAGAACTGTACTTGGTGTTCTAAATATACAGTAAGACAGACGTGTGGTGAACACCACATTTGAGAGACAGCCAAAAGGTGGAAAACTATTTCCTTTGCGACATATTCGGATGTATACGTTGAAGTGTCCAGAGCCGTGGCCTCGTAAAGAAGCAATACCAGCTCTCGTGCCATCCCGCTGAACCTAAAGCTGCTCGGTTTAGGAGGCATGAGGTGGAAGAATGTCGGTTTCTTACACAAAAGAACGAGGTTCTGGGAAGCTGGGTGGAAGACCGCAGCTCATTGGGATGGGTTTGGGCGAACCCGCCAGGCCGCAAACATGCCATTTCTCATAGTTTGTAGAATTAAAGTGGATGGAACATCAACAGATTACTTCAAACCTCCCTGTGGTTTAAACGCCCCTTTGATAAATCCAGTGATATGATTGTAAATGGGATGTAATTTAAGAGGGACTTTTCCAGTTTCAAAAGCACTCCTCCCACTCTTGTATGTGATAGCTCTTGGGCAGCAACGCCAGGTTATCTAAGGGGCTCTTCGGTCGAGTTTGTAGCAATTATGATGAAGAATGAACAGCACTTCATTGATGTTAAAATAGAAACACTGCACAAACACTTCTATACATAAGGTTTTGCACCTTCAGGGTGGGTTTCAGGTATACTTTTAGACAGATCTGACCACTGAAGAGCAAAATTCAGAATGCTTTTATGCATGTTTCACAAAGGCATGTCGATGTAAGAATCCCAAAGTTTACACAAAGTCTAGAGCGATAATCTCTGCAAGGCACCTCAAGGTGAAGCCCGTGATAAAATAAACACAGCAAGAGATAAAGCTCAGACCAGAGGCACGAGGCCAAATCATGCGTGGAGATATACTGTAGGCTCCGACCTGCGAGGGGAAGGGAACGCCTAAACAGCTGCTACCACTTCAGCCAAAAGCCTCCCCAACAGCTGACAGGGCCGTACATCCTAAAGTTGCTGTCAGCTTGTTTTTTTGCGCAGAGCCTTGAAGAGGAATCGCGCCGCTCAAGGGCGTGAGCGGCGATTCTGTTGACAGGTTTCGACAGCGCAGGCCTGGCCGACACGCTGCCAAGATAAAGTGTGCTCTAATTGTCTCCATTATCACTTCACAAGTGTCAGAATGCAGAAGGGAGGCGAGACTCAAGATGTCCACTTGGTGATCCACTTTCAAATGTAGTGTAAGTGAGGAGCATTTAGTAACAGGCTGGAAATGCCAAATGGGAGAATATAGCACATTTTAATTACAATTCAAATCTTACAACTGACAACAAAATCATTACTACGATATCGGTAGTCATAGTCGCAGGGTTTTTGCTCTGTGCTCTCTGGCACACGCGATTGAAATGAAACAATAAAAACAGGTTCAAAAGTTACAATACTGTTGATACTGTTCACAAGAACCACATTCTTTTACCTCTTTATATAATATTTGTCTTTGTTAGTGGCGGAGTCCGCCATTATCGCACATGATTCAAATTGCAAACTCTTTTTTTAGGGGATCTATTGGGAGAAATGGAATATAATATCAAGTATGTAGTCTTTAGTGTTTAATCACCTGTATTGTTTTCATGACCTTAGAATGAGCAGTTTATATCTACATGCGGCGCGGCTCCTCTTCATGGAGCGGGCCGCCACGTTTCTACAGTAGCCCTGAACGGCCACCGTAGTTCTCCTACACGCTTGGGACACGGGAGAAGTTTCAGTTGGGTGCAATCTGCAATCTCACCGCTAGATGTCGGCAAATCCTTCACACTGTACCTTTAAGGATTACGACTTTAAAGTGCGTTTTCAGGGTATTTTGACAAGACTGGGCTACCAACCAAACGTGGGAAACTGCCCCAGGACCCCAGATCTCCAGGACCCTGAAAAAGCTACAGGTTCACTTTAAGTGAGCCAGTTCGAGCAAATTGAATTGAAAATTTGTTTGGGAACACCAAATAGCTCATCGTTTAAAATCTACTTTTAAGACCTTTACTACTTCAGTTATATGCTTCTGTGTTTCATATCCTCAATTGTGTTTAGTTCAATTACCACACAGCAGATCTGGGGTCAGGTAGAATTACATAATAGAAAATCTGTATACATTGTACATTGTGAGTAACAGGGGCTAAAGAGGGCCCAACAAGCCTAATTTTCACCATGGTGTTTGAGAGGGTTTACAGCTATTTTGGCTCAACAGTGCAGAACTCGTAGCACATTTAATTAACAGGCAGGACAAGAAGAGAGATATTATAGACCAGCACAATCCGGCTTCAATCAAAGTGAACGATTTTTTCACTGCTGAAGAACAGATTGTAGTCAAAAAGTCCCTGACACAAGTAAGAAGACAGCATAGGCCTGGCAGAAGCAACGGTCTGCAACTTACTATTAAAGCAACACTGTAAGAATTTAGTTTTCCACCCCCATAAAGATAGTGGACTCACAAGAGACAGATTAATAAAATAGAATAAAAAGAGACTCAACACAGTTACTACTGTTAATGTGACACAAAATAAACTCCACGAGTTTGTCTGAAGCGTAATAATTAGTAATAATATAAGTAAGTTGGTGTAATTGCTTGCAACAAAATGAGATCGCAATCCACGTGTTTTACATTGTAAGCTGTATGAGGCCAGTCAGAATTCCCACACTACTACCAGAGTTACATGTGTGCGTCACATGACGAACGATAAGTTGCCTGAGGTTTTCGCGAGTATCTGAGAAGAGCTCAGCAGCAGCACAGTGTTTGAGTGTTTTTGGGTGGAAGGGGCCGAAAGCCACCCACTCTGTCTGGACACATTCCTCCCAGTCATTCCCATCAGTGCGGCAATGACGGCAGACGCTGTGCGTGTTGGGGAGAGACGACCACATCTTCTGCCCCTGATGAAACCGGAACGTCAGATGGAGACATGCGCTCACTGTTGTTTTCTGACGGAACATAAACATATGATTGCCTCAGTCCAAGAACATTTACATTAGTTAGATCACATGGAAGCCATAACGTTTTAAGTAATCCCTGACATTTTGATACCATATGAGCCAGACTGTCTGCAAGGTCATTCAGGCTGTTCCAGAGTCTGCATTTTGGCTGTTTTATTGCCTGGTCACATAAGAAAGTGGCTAAATTCATCCTCCAGAAACATGTGGTTCTAGTATATTGGTGATGTTGGAACTACTTGTAAAGAAAGTTGGTGAACTACTGTATCCAGCAAGCTTACTGCTAACAACCTAGCAAGCCAGGATCATGCTGGTCACAATAGTTCCCCACTGTAGTAGTAGTGTTGTAGTCACTGAAGGGGTAATAAAAGCTCTCTGAGCTAGCCAACTTGCTAGCTCTCAGATAGCAAGCTCGTTAGCTTGGTCACTAGGGATAATAGAGTGATGCAGGGTCGATTTTTTGGGTTTGTATTTTTGTAGGCCCAACCCCGGAAGTTAGCATCGCACTGGTTTCTTCAACCTTACATGCAGGCATTTAACCAAAAAAACAATTGACTTTGCGGCGAGGGAACAGGAAGTGCAAAAATGCTAACTCATTTCCGGATTTTAAAACTCATTCATGCAGCACTCTAAACAGTACGTTCACACAGTTTATTTAAGAAGACATAGTTGTAAGATTGACTCATTTCTATAAACTTGTGGTGCAGTTTATACTTCAACAGAAACACAGATGAATAAGCTAACAAGCTAAGAAAGCTTGCAGCTTGATTTATTTCATCATCAAATGATGGGGATTGGGGCATTTAGTCTGTTGGAGATTCCAGCTATAAAATAAAGTTATAAAACATCCTGTGTCACTGGCGTGAGCTGTGGCTGGAGTCTTTCCTTCAGACATGAGGCAGGCTACTTTATGGTTAGTCTTAAAAGGCCTCGGTGGCCATCAGCGCTCGTGAGCCCTCGGATGTGGAAAATGTTGACGTTTTTCAAAAATTCATCATACCGTTTTCATCCACTCTGCCTTTTGTTGCCAGCAGAAATCCGTAAAAGGCATCCAGTGTGGTAAAGACGTTACGAAGTCACATGCTAATTATATGGTGGGTGATTTCACCAGTCTAGGTTTTGTTTCGTAACACACAGGCTTCCCTTCATTTACAGTAAACGCGCCAGACGACAAGGCCTGGCACGTGATGGAAATAGTTCAGGGAAGCCCATCCGCATCCCCTCCTTCTGACTGTGTATGTTAAGTGTGGGACTGTCGCTCAGGTCGGTGTCTGAGGTAACTCCCTAACTGCCAGACACCTCCATGGGACATTCCAATCCCCCAAAAC